TGGATGGTGACCATCACCACTACATGACGCATGGCTTCACCAACGCCTCGTCATCATTTACTTGGATCGGCTTCATCATAACCGTCATCCTCAAGTCACGCCTGGTCCCTCGGCCTTGGCATGATCATCTATCTCAAGACCAGCTTCCTCAGCACCGAGAGTCTTGAGCCAACGATCGGGCTCACCATCCCTTCCTGGATGGTGACCATCGCCACTACATGACACACGGCTTCACCAATGCCTCGTCATCATTTACTTGGATCGGCTTCATCATAGCCGTCATCCTCAAGTCACGCATGGTCCCTCGGCCTTGGCATGATCATCTATTTCAAGACCGGTCTTAGCCATTCCTTTATCGGATGGTGACCGTTGCACGGATTTTCGGACTGACCCCTCAGTGTCGTCCATCCTCACGTCACGACCGGCCCCTCGGCCAAGGCGTGACTATCTATCTCAAGACCGGCCTCCTCAGCGTCGAGTGTCTTAAGCCAGCAAGCGGCCTCGCCATTCCCTTCCTGGATGGCGACCCTCGCCTTCATATGAGGAGCGGCTTCATCAGCGCCGTCGTCCTCAGATCACGGCAGACCCCCTGGTCTCAACGTGATCCTTCATCTCAAGGCCGGCTTCCTCAATGCCGAGAGCCTCGAGCTTGCATGACGAATGGCTCCATCAATGCCTTCGTCATCATTTATTTGGACCGGCTTCATCAGCGTCGTCGTCCTCAGATCACGGCAGACCCCTCAGTCTCAACATGATCCTTCATCTCAAGACCGGCCTCCTCAGCGCCGAGCGTCTTGAGCTAGCGAGCGGGCTCGCCATTCCCTTCCTGGATGGCGACCCTCGCCTTCATACGACGAGCAGCTTCATCAGTGCCGTCGTCCTCACATGACGACCGGCCTCTCGGCCAAGGCGTGATCATCTATCTCAAGACCGGTCTTAGCCATTCCTTCACCGGATGACGGCCGTTGCATGGATTGTAGGACCGGCTCCTCATCACCGTCGTCTTCACATCACGACCAGCCCCTCGGCCATGGTGTGATGCTCTATCTTAAGACCGGTCTTAGGCATTCCTTTACCGGATGGTGACCGTTGCATGGATTTCGGACCGGCCCCCCAGTGCCATCGTCCTCATATCTCAAGATCGGCTCCCAACGCCGAGGTACTGTTATAGCGACCGGGCTCGCAATTCCCTTCCTGGACAGCGACCGTCGCCTTCATATGACGCATGGATCATTACCATTGTCGTCCTCACATTCAGACAAGCATCCATCGCCTCGTCCTCATATTCGGACCGAATAATCAGCACCGTCGTCCTCACCTCCAGGCGGGCGTCCCCTCATCAGACGGACACCGCTTCAGCTCCACACCTAGGTCGAAGGGTTCACCCCTTGGAGTTCATTTTGGGGGATACGGTGTGCTCTTTTTCCCTCATTAGGATTTTTTCCCACATGGTTTTTCCTAATGAGGTTTTTAACGAGGCATCGCCCCATTGTGGATAAAAAGGTGTCGACCCTCGGCCCCCTATTTGAAGGCATACATTGCTCTACTCCTCTTCACCTCACTACATGAGCCTCAAGGAGTGGGGGACTGGGGGACTACATCGGCCTCCACATACATGAAAACGTCCAGAAAGCAATCAAGTTAGCATCTACCAAGTGGTGTCTCCATCGGCCGAAGAAGAGTCAACCCGGAATATGCTCCGGAAGCCAAGGAGAGGACTTGTCCTCCGTCGGCCATGCCTTCGTCGGCCATGCCTTCGTCGGCCATGCCTTCGTCGGCCATATGAATGGGGGACTACATCGGCCTCCAGCGCAAAGATAAACAAATTCAAAATCCAACGAACACAAACCCATGACAATGGCACCTCAACGTCCAACAACCATGTGTTCACCCTTCGGCCAGGCCGAAGTGCAAAGCAGGACGCACACCGTCCTCAATGTCAAGGACACACATCGTCCTAAAGATCAAGGGCATGTGTCGTCCTCAAAGCCAAGGACACTCCCCGTCCTCAAGGCCAATGGCACGCATCGTCTCCGGGACTATGACATTCATCGTCCATATCACGAACAAAACGAACGTGCCACGAACGTCCGCAAGCGTAAGGTCCATCAATTAAAGTCAAAAGCACAAGGGCATGACATTCTTCGTCCACAGAGCCAAGGGCGCACAATGTCCTCTGGTCCAGGACCCTCATCGTCCTCAAAGTGAAGGACATTCATCGTCCTCAAGACGAAGGACATTCATCATCCTCAAAATGAAGGACATTCATCGTCCTCAAAATGAAGGACGCTCATCGTCCTCAAGGTGAAGGACATCCACCGTCCTCAAAACGAAGGACATTCATCATCCTCAAAATGAAGGACATTCATCTCCCTCGAAACAAAGGACACCCATCGTCCTCAAACAAGAGATAACCACAATGGCCTCCTCGGTCCAAAATACGAAATTCAACCATCAACGGCCAGGAATAAGGAAGCACTGTCTTCATCGGCCACTCATGATAGAGGACGCTCATCGTCTCCACCAAGCAAAGGCACTCGTCGTCCTTAAACAGAAAACATGCATCATCCACAGGACTAGGGCCCTCTTCGTCCACATCGAGGAGCACACAACGCCCAAACAAAAAAGGACAAAAATCTACTCTCCTTCACTTCGTCAACGTCTCAGCTTAGAGAGTGGGGGACTCCTGATGGAGTATATGGGTCTAGGCCCCAGGACCCACATACTCAGAAGAACAGAAGGTACCATGATCACTGGGTGACCTCGTCGGCCATGCCCTCATCGGTCAGAAAAAGGTCTACTCAGAATGTGATCCAGAAGCCCGGAGAACCGGATGCCCTCATCGGCCATGCTCTCATCGGCCATGCCCTCATCGGCCAGAAAAAGGTCTACTCAGAATATGATCCAGAAGCCCGGAGAACCGGGTGCCCTCATCGGCCATGCTCTCATCGGCCATGCCCTCATCGGCCAGAAAGAAGGCCACCCAGAATATGATCCTAAAGCCAGGGAACCAGGGTGTCCTCGTCGGTCGTGCCCTCATCGGCCGTGCCCTCGTCGGCCAAGACCCTCGTCGGCCACGGAAGTCTCACAGAACCGGATTTTACACTTATTCATTTGTATAGCCCACCAGAGGCTTTGTATTCGGCCCAATAGCGGTCCAGTTGTAAATGGGCCTCCCAAGCCCAAGACTTGGGAGCCCAGCCCAAGACTTGGGAGCCCAGCCCGTATTTTCCCTATAAATACTTCCTCTGGAGGTAGTTATCAGGGTTACAAAATCATTCTATTGAAGCATATTACTGCACTTCTCTCTCTAGCTCTCACTTCTCTCTAGATATACTCTATCAGCACCTTTTAGACGACTTGAGGGGCGGGGAGAAGAGGCAGAGAAGAGAGGGAGGGGAAGACCCAAACAGACTTGGATTAGAGGAATCGGAATTGATATGCGTCTTCATGAGTTGGATGAGAGTATGACTTTGGGGAGAGCAAAGTGGAGGACACACATCTGTGTGGACGATTAATGTCTTTTCTACCTTTCCTCTCTTTTTTCTTTTATCGTTTATCTTCCTTATCTTTTTACATTCTTATGTTATTTTTTATCTTCTAGCTTTTTTATGCTCTTTTATTTTTTCTTTTATGTTTCTTATATTCTTGTGTTATTGTTATCTTATATTTATTTGTCTTTATTTTATTCATTTTATCTGATCTTTTTTCTTCCCTTTCTTATCCGTCTTCTTTTTTTGGCATCGTTATCATAGATCGATTCATGTTAGCCGACCCCAAATTCTTTTGGGATTAAAGCTTGGTTGTTGTTGTTGTTGTTGTATTCTCTTGAAGTGTTGGAGAAGAAGCCATTTTTTCCTCTACAATTGATTTTAGGTAATATTTCATGTATGTTATTGTATTTCCTTTGTCATTGTTACACTTCTGTAATTAGTATGATCTCAAGAAGCTAAATTCTTAGCAAAGGCTAGAGATGAACTTTTATGTCCAGTAGGTGTTTGATAAAAGTTCTAAATCAATAAATTGTGATTTATCCTTTATACTTTGATTGTTTATGACTATGATGTACAACATAGAATTATGTTAACTTTAGAACCGAGAATAGAAATATATCCGGTCTTATAAGATACAGGTGTGATGTCATGATATTCAATGGGGGGTTTTGGTGGATGAATGTAAGCCGTAACGGGACTTACACGTAACGAAAATCACGCACCCGCTGCCTTAACCGGAGTTGGAATATATTAGCGTCATCGTATTCATAATTATTGGGAAAGAACTAATATTTACCCCTATTAAAGCAGTAAGTGATTTCCGAAGCCTTAGTTGTTGTTATCAATCATCTTAAATTCGAATTAATTAAAGTTATCTTAATGAATTGAAATTGAAAAGCCAAGTTATAACAAAACACAAATGAAAATCCCTGCACTTTACTCATTTCTTTATTTAAAGTTATCTACTCTCGGACTTAAATTAAACAATGTTTCCCTATGGATTCGACTCGGTATTTTACATGAATTTATTATTATATCGACACTTGTACACTTGCAAATTTAGCTCGGTCCATAGCCGTTGAGCTAGTCAACCTCCACATTTCCTTGCCTTCAACTATGCACATTTTAGAGTCAATAAACTTTAATCTGAATTATTTTTGATGATGTTTAGTTCTATTTCTTCTTTCCATCTCAAAGCCAGTCACCACCCTGCATTTCTCCTTCTTGAATTATGAACTTCCTAAAAACAACTCTGCACAACGCTACTACCACCCGCACTCGACGTATTTTAGTTTCCATCAAGAATATAACTTCACATTTATGCGTTTGAACCATACTTGGACTTAACCAATTGCTAAATTGTTCAATCCTTTACATTCCAACTGATAATACTAATCCTTCTAATTTTGAGAGAACCACATCGCCGACCACTTTGTAAAAAGGGGGACCTCCATAGGGAAAAATATCGCTAGAGAATTCTATGGCAACAACTGTGAGACAGTAAAAAAATAAATAAATATGCATGCATTAATTAAATAAATAGAAATACTTGGATGAAACCAAGCCTAACAAATCCTTGTCTTCTAAGGACGAATTTGCCCACAGCACAAATAGCAACCGTCTCTTAGGATAGAGCAGTTTCTACATCCCCTAAGGACACCAACAAACTCAAAGATGTAACATTAATGGAGTAACGGGTGGGACAAGGAAGGAAACTGGGATCACGATTTTTGGATGGTAAAAAATGCAGGTAAGCTTGGGTATATATAGAGTTGTGGTCAGGAACTCTACGCCCAAAGGACACTTTAGAAAGAAAGGTTGTGAACCTTCTTCCAAAATAAAAAATTTGTGTTTATTTTCAAGCCTTATCCAAATACAAAAACAAGCAGTGAAGCAATTACCCTGTCGTGATCTTCATCCTTGAATTTCCCTCTTATCACCATTTCCTACCCATCCACACAGTTGGAGGTATCGGTCCTACCAAGTCATCCCTTCCATTTTACTATTGACTTGAACCCTATGTTTACTCCCACTATTCTATTCGTATTATTGATTCTCTTCTGGTTGTTGACTTACCTAATGTCTGGCCCCCTCTCTTTGTTGTCCGATGCATTCCTGCCTGTGTTGGCCCATGAGCTTTTGTCTTAGCCCCTCTCCTGTGACTTTCCTTGATAATTTGCTCGCATCCTATTATATGTGTCTCTCTCTTCTTCCTTGTGAGAGTGGCCTGCGTGAGAAAATAAAGAGAGCAGACCCTTCCCTTTCCTTTGTGTGAGAGAGGTAAAATCAGAGAGTTCAGAACATAGTTTTCTCCTTCCTCCTTGAGACCCTTTGTGTGGAAGCTTGGGAGTGTAAACATGTTGAGAGGTGGAGTGAGTCTAGCCTAGAGTGGTGTGTGTGAGGGGAGTGAAAGGTTGGAGACCTGAGCCGGAGACAGAATCGATCCCTAACAGTGGTATCATAGACTCGTTCTGCCGTCTGTCGCCGCCTGCCACCACCTGCCGCCGTTCGACCGTCCGCTGTCGATTGGAGGACATCGCCAACTCTCAGCCGTCTGTCGAAGTCTCTGGATGACGCCTGAAGGTTGTTCTCGATTCGGCCAACCTAAACTCGTTGGGGATTGTATTTCTGCTCGTGGCCATCAAAGTCACCGCTGGAGCCACCGTCCACCTGGAAGTCATCAGAGGAGGTCTCTCATGGCTGGAACCGTCGCTCATCCGTCGAAGCCAACCCTTGCGATCTTTGTTGCTCGCAGAAGGCGTGTAGCACACCCTGATCTGGCCGTTGAGGATAAGGACAAAGGGCTTAGGCCCCTGTACTACTGGGCTGGTAGGCTTATGGTGCTATTGGGGTTCTTGGAATGCTGGATTACTAAAGGAAATCTGGAGTGCTGGGCTGCTGGTCTTTTGGGCTACGGACTACTGGACCGGGTTGAACTTGGCTGCTGAGCTTCTGGACCTGGACTGGTGCTACTAGAGCTGCTAACCTGGGCTGGAGCTGCTGGAAGCAGTCAACGCCGGTCAACCCCGGTCAACGGCAGTCAACCTGGACAGAAAATCCCAATTTTTAATTGGGTAGGTAAGGTTGAAATGCTCTCCTAGGGTTTCGCTGAGGTAAATTGGCGATAAACATCCTAGGTGTATCAGGTGCCTCCGAATTTAACTTATTCCCGCTTCTCGCGAGCTGCTGGTTGATTTTATCTCGACTGCCAACCCCCCAGGTAGGAGTGGGCATGGTTGGTTAACCGTCTTTCAGTTAATCGAGAGTTCGGTTAATATATTTTCAATACCAATATACGTACAATTACATCGGTTAACCGGGTATCGGTTAACCGAAATTCCGGTTAATCACTAATCGGTTAACCAAATAACCATGACATAAATAAAAAAATGAATTAAGCTGCCAAAAAATAAAATGATTGTTCGATCAATGTATACGTAAATGTTGGTGTTGAGGATATGACCTAAGTCTGTTATGTAGGATCGAGCCAATATGTTTATATAAATAAAATTCACAACAATTTTGTTCTTAATAAATTAATTAGAAGAAATTATTATGCAGTCCACGTAATACACTCATTATAACTAGCTAGAGGAAGCTAAGTATCTTACTCACTATAACTATTATTTTATTTGCTTAAAATAGACTGCTTTTGTTCGTTAATTATCCCCAACATTGCTCCTTAATTATCCCCATGTCAAACGTCACTAATTTGTAAGTTCTCCCCAGGCTTTGGTATCGCAACATGGTTGCCGTCAGATGAGTACACCACATGTCGTACACTCGTACATGCACTAATTTTTTTATGGCAGATACAAATCATATAACATTTGAACTTCTGGTTATCGGTTAACCGACCTTGGGATAATTTTAAAACCGTAGCCATACTGTGAACCACTTTTTTCTTTAAGTAAGTTAACCGTACCGTGTGTTTTTTAAATAATGGTCCGGTTAACCAAACAAAATGCTGGTTTTTCGATTTTTTGGTACGGTATGCCGGTTACGGTTTTTTATGCCCACCCCTACCCCCAGGTACGTTGGTTAAACCCTCTCCTTTGTGGCAGGTTGTTTTAGTTGGTTAAATTTAATTGCATAGTGTTGTTTATTTCAATTCTTATGCTTGAGGGTGGTTTTTTGGGTGTTAGGGGTAGCATTAATTAATCCTACTTGTTGTCCGGTTTTGTTTAGGTGCCAAACTGTCCATGTTTGCTATTTGTTGCATGCTGCCCGGGGTTATTAAAGTGTATACTTTGTAGCCTGGGTTGAATTATTTTTCTGTCCAAGTTATTTGTTTAGCTTTGTGTTGTTTTATGGTTGATACCATGGCTGTTAATCAGTATGATATGCTTTCATTTACCGGAAAAATACACTTTGATATTTGGAAGTAAAAAATTAAGTGTGTTCTAATTCAACAAAAAGTTTTTAGAGTGTTCACTGGTATTTTCCTTGAATCTAAAGATAAGGTAAAGCAAATTGAAATGAACAAAACTGCTTGTTCTACTATTTATCTAAATTTGCCTGATTTTGTGCTTAGGAAAGTGGGTATTCTTGAGCCCGCTAAGGAATTGTGGGAGAAATTGGATAAACTCTATACTGATACCTCTTTTTCCGGGAAGTTGTTTTTACTTAAGAAATTCTTTAGGTTTAGGCTTGACCTGACTAAGGATATAGATGAAAACCTGGATGTGTTTAATAAACGGATACAAAATATTAAACATGCAGGTGATAAACACAGAGATGATTAAACTCCCATAGTGTTACTTAATGTCATTCCCGACTCTTATAATGATGTCCAGTCCGCTATAAAATATGGTAGGGATGAGATTTCACTAGATATTATTGTTAATGGGTTAAGGAGTAAGGAATTATATTTGAAGCATGCTAGGGGTAGTAATAGTCAGTCCAGGGAGTTCGGTGAGGCTTTGTTTGTTAGAGGTAGATCTAAGAGTAGATCTAAGCACTTTAAGTAAAATTGCCAAAGTAAGAACATTAGTCAGCCTGGGAGGAAGAGGAACAAATTTGGGAAGAGAGTGTGTTACAATTGTGGTAACGCTGACCATTTCACCAAGGACTGCTCTAACCCTAAGAAAGCTGAGCATGCTAGTGTAGCTGTTGATAGATGTGACCTTGGTGAGATTTTGATGGTTGATTCTGTGAGAAATTCTCTGGCTGAGAATGAATGGTTGGTTGACTCTGGTTGTACCTATCACATGTCCTCTTTTAGAGATTTGTTTTCTACATGGGAATTATGTGATAGTGGCTATGTTTCCTTGGCTGATAATAAGAGATGCAATGTACTTGGTTTTGGTGATATATGTAATAAATTTTCTGGTGTCTTTGTGTTTACCATTAAGAATGTGAGGCATGTCCCTAATTTGTGTCATAACTTGTTATCTGGTGATGCTTTGGAGAGTAGTGGTTTATAGGGAAAGTAGGGGAATGGTTGCATGAAAATTTTGAAAAATTCTCTTGTTTTTTTAAAGCTGAGAAGATGTATAACCTTTATGTATGTTATGCTAAACCTTTTGCTGATTTTGTGAATGATGTATGTGTTGATAAGATCTCTTTGTGGCATAATAGGCTAGGGAATATGAGCAATAAGGGTTTAGATATAGTGCATAGGTCTGGTTATTTTGGTAAAGACTCTGTGACTTATGTGCCTTTCTGTGAATCATGTGTGTTCATGCTGATGTTTGGGGTCCTGCCAGTGTTCCTACCCACGGGGGTATGAAATATTTTCTTTCTATTATTGATGATTTATCTAGGAAGGTGTTACTTTGCCTTTTAGAACACAAGTCTGATGGGTTTGCGAGGTTTGAGGGAGTGCAAAACCCTAGTTGAAAACCAAACCGGCAGGAAGGTTACTCCTCGGGACTGATAATGGCTTAGAGTTTTGTAATAAGGAGATGGATAAGCTGTGTGTATTGTAGGATAAAAAGGCACAAAATTGTGCCTTATACTCCCCAACAGAATGGGATAGGTGAAAGAATGAACAGAACTCTGTTGAATAAGGTTAGAAGTATGTTAGTGATGGAGTATATGGCACGGGAACCCCCGGCCCACAGACTCCTACTACTCCAATGAAGGCCCAACAGGCCCGAATCACCGCGCCCAAAGTACCAAGCAGCCCACAATGCGCACCAGGGGTGCCTTCGCCCCCCTGGCCGAAGGCCCTAACTCTCACAGGAGGGCCAAGACAGGAAAACAAAGTTACTGGAAAAAACGGCGAAAATCAGTAGCCCTCGGCAACTGGGGCCCTCGGCACTAAGGGGGTCCCCGGTACTCAGAGCCCTCGGCTAGTCATCTACTGTCGATGGCACCTTTTCCGACACAATATCCGCTCCACATGTGTATGGATCACCTTACCCTGTACAACGTCCCATCCAACAGCCACATTAAATGCGGCCACATGCGTTTGTCAGCGACAACCAGTTGAGGTGACCTCTCGGCCAATGGACGCTTGACACGTGTCCATGTCCGACATTTATTGCTACTATAAATAGCACCCCATTTCCCCATTTGTAACCAAGTGATAACAAGTCATAACACGCTGAATACTTTCTAATATACTTTCTCTCTCTATACTTACTTGCTCTGACTTCTCTCTAGTTATTCCCCGTAATAACCCCTCGGATAAGCTACCCCCGGGTACATTATCCATCATTTGGTGCTCTCGTTGAGAGGTCGAACCATCAAGTAAGAAACCCCCCCCCCCTCGACCAAACACAAAACACCCATCTAAAATGGTGAGAACAACACGTGCCAACTCCAAGAATGTAGAGGACAGGAACCTGGCCCTCGGCGAGGTCGACGTCCCCGAGGCCTCTAACAGGGCTCCCGGGGGCGGCGTCATCGCCGGGTTGGACCAGACTGCTGTCGACCTACGCCAGCAGATTCAACAAAATGCCCCTGATGCCCGCCTCAGCATCGAGGCCAAGAAAAAGGACCGGAGCGAAAAATCAAATTAGCCCTCCGGTCATCACCATCGACGTACAATCGGCGCTCTCCGCCTTCATCCAGACGCTCACCCAGAACCCGGGTGCCTTCGGCACTTTGGTTCCCCTCCAACCTCAGGTGGGGGAGAATATTATGCCTCCCCCTCACCCACGACCCCTCGGTAACCCGGTCCTTCGAATGGGGAACTCTGAGGGGGTCGTGGCCCAAGATACGGTCTCCCAGGAAGTCCAGTCCCGGGACCGCCACAACGTGAACAAGGAACAACTCCGGACCTCCGCCCTCGAGAGACTCGGAGGGGTGCAAGACCGCCGAGGGGTCCAAGACCGCCTCGGGGGGGAAGGCGTTCCAAAGGCCTCAGGAAAGTGGTGGGTCCATCTCCAGGGCCAATGAAAGGCGTCCCCCTCAGGACAAGGGCAAGGCACCTCTCCATGTCGACGACGCACGCCACCAAATCAACCAGGCCCACTCGGCCCGGGTCCATTCGCAGGGGGCAGAGGCCCTCCCGAAGGACCCCCGGGACGAAATCATTGCGGCCCTCCAGCGCCGGCTTGACGAGATGGAGGCCACCAAAGCCCACACCACCACTTCTGCCCCTCATTCAGACCTCAAGTATGAGGCAATGATGGCCAGGATGGAAGAAATGCAGAAGAAGATAGCCGAGGGCTCCAGGGAACCCACCATACAGCTCCGGACCCGGACGCCATTTACCCCAAGGGTATTGGCGGCTCGGATCCCGGAAAAATACCGAGGGCAGCTCATCAAGCCCTATGACGGAAAGACTGACCCCCAAGAGCACTACAGCAGGTATCAAAACAGCATGATGATGGTAGGGGCATCAGATGAATATTTGTGCCGCTGGTTCCTCTCCACTCTAGAGGGGCCAGCTTACGAGTGGTTCAATCGATTGCCCGAGGGCTGCATTGACTCATGGCAAGAGCTCGCCCAGCAGTTCTTGACGCAATTTGCGGGGAGGCGCCGCACAAGAAAACACTTCTCCCACTTGCTAACAGTGAGGCAGAAGAAGGAGGAGACCCTTCAGGACTTCCTGGAGCGCTGGAAGACGGAGGCTGATAAAGTTGACGGCGCTGACGACGGGACCCTCCTGGCACTCCTACAAACAGTACTCCGCCCTGGGAACTTCTCCAGAAGCCTCATCATCGAACCATCCCGCGATTATATAAGGGCCCTACAGCGGGGGGACCGGTACGCCGAGGCCGAGGAGGTGGAGAAATGCCACCATGTCCCAGATCAGCAACGCCCTCAGCCGGACGAAAAAGGTAACCGGGGGCCGGGGGCTCCCCGCAATCATCCCAAGGATTCTGCCCCCTCCGGTGATCGCCCCCGGCATGGCCAAGCCAAGCCCGGGGGAGGCTACAAGGAGAACCCGAGGGCTTGGGCACAGCCTGTCCTCCTGGAGCACCCTCGGACACCATTGACGCACCCCGTCAGCGTTATTCTTGATTTTGCTGAGGAGAGGGGCCTGGTGGAGCGAGATTCACGTGCACCCCGGAGGTATTCTCCATCAATCCCAACTACCCCTACTGTCGTTTCCACCGGCACCAGGGGCACAGGACCGATGACTGTCATCAACTGAAGACGGCCATCGAAGAGTTGATACAAGCGGGCCATCTGTCCCAGTTTATCCAGGGCCCTCAGCAACAGGGCCCCCCACAGCAGGGGCCACCCCGAGGGCAAACTGCGAGAGCGAACGCATGGGTCAACCCCAACACCACCCCCCTCGGCAAAAAGAGGGAGATTGGGAACTTGGAAGAAGAGGAGGAGGAGTACCCCCGGTATCAAGAAAAGAAACGTGACATCCTCATGATCACAGGGGGAAATACCGGGGGTGATTCTACGAGTCAACGAAAGAAGTGGGCTCAATCACTTTATGTGGGGGAAGTCACTCATATGCCCCTAGTAAAGCGGCTGAGGGAGGAACCCATTATCTTCACTGACGCTGATCTCCCCCCAGTATCCTCCCCACACAGGGATGCCCTCATCATCCGCACAGAGATCAACGACACTATTATTCACAGAACTTACATTGACATGGGCAGCTCCGTCAATGTAATGTACCTCAGCACCTTCAGAGAGCTGCATCTGGAGAGAGGGTCCCTTCGGCCCATCAAGACTCCTCTTGCCGGCTTCACTGACGACACCATTGATTCTGAGGGGGTCATAACCCTCCCGGTCATCTTCGGCGACGGCCTCCATAGAGCCAAGCTCGAAGTGGAGTTCGTCATCGTCAACATCGACTGCGCCCACAACATCATCCTCGGCCGGCCAGACGACAAAGGTAACCGAGGGCCGGGGGCTCCCCGCAATCATCCCAAGGATTGTGCCCCCTCCGGTGATCGCCCCCGGCATGGCCAAGCCAAGCCCGGGGGAGGCTACAAGGGGAACCCGAGGGATTGGGCACAACCTGTCCTCCTGGAGCACCCTCGGACACCGTTGACGCACCCCGTCAGCGTTATTCATGATTTTGCTGAGGAGAAGGGCCTGGTGGAGCGAGATTCACGTGCACCCCCGGAGGTATTTGCCATCAATCCCAACTACCCCTACTGTCGTTTCCACCGGCACAAGGGGCACAGGACCGATGACTGTCATCAGCTGAAGACGGCCATCGAAAAGTTGATACAAGCGGGCCATCTGTCCCAGTTTATCAAGGGCCCTCAGCAACAGGGCCCCCCACAGCAGGGGCCACCCCGAGGGCAAACTGCGAGAGCAAACGCATGGGTCAACCCCAACACCACCCCCCTCGGCAAAAAGAGGGAGATTGGGAACTTGGAAGAAGAGGAGGAGGAGTACCCCCGGTATCAAGAAAAGAAACGTGACATCCTCATGATCACAGGGGGAAATACCGGGGGTGATTCTACGAGTCAACGAAAGAAGTGGGCTCAATCACTTTATGTGGGGGAAGTCACTCATATGCCCCCAGTAAAGCAGCTGAGGGAGGAACCCATTATCTTCACTGACACTGATCTCCCCCCAGTATCCTCCCCACACAGAGATGCCCTCGTCATCCGCACAGAGATCAACGACACTATTATTCACAGAACTTACATTGACACGGGCAGCTCCGTCAATGTAATGTACCTCAGCACCCTCAGAGAGCTGCATCTGGAGAGGGGGTCCCTTCGGCCCATTAAGACTCCTCTTGCCGGCTTCACCGGCGACACCATTGATTCCGAGAGGGTCATAACCCTCCCGGTCATCTTCGGCGACGGCCTCCATAGAGCCAAGCTCGAAGTGGAGTTCGTCGTCGTCAACATCGACTGCGCCCACAACATCATCCTCGGCCGGCCAGCCCTCGAGGATCTCGAAGACGTCATCTCCATGAGGCACCTCTGCCTCAAGTTCCCAGCCGAAGGGGGGATTGGTTACTCAAGGGGGAACCAAAAACTTGCTCGCGCTTGCTACCTTCAAGTTACAAAGAAGGTTAGCAAGACGGAGTTCCGCGTTGACACCATCACCGGAACTGTGGAAGCGGAAGAAAGGAGGCCGAGGGCTGAACCAGCCGAGGAGGTAGAAGACTTCGCGCTCGATCCGGCCAAGCCGGAGAGAGTCGTGAAGATTGGAGCCAAGCTCCCCGAAGATTTGAAGATCGGCATCATCAGCGCCCTCCGCGCCTACTCCATTGTTTTTGCATGGGGGCCGGAGGACATGCCGGGGATCAGCCGAAGGGTCATCACCCACCGCCTCTCGGTGGACCCTTCGGCCAAACCAGTACAACAGCGGAGGAGGCCCCTCTCGGCCGAGAGGAGGGAATTTGTGAAGAAGGAGGTCGCCATGCTCCTCTCTATCAGGCACATCAAGGAGGTAAAATACCCCTCATGGCTGGCAAACGTGGTCCTCGCACAGAAACCACCCTCATTCCGCATGTGCGTGGACTACACGGATCTCAACAAGGTGTGTCCCATGGACCCCTTTCCTTTGCCAAATATTGATCAACTTGTGGATGAAACCGCGAGGCGTGAAATCATGTCATTCCTCGACGCATTCCGCGGATATCATCAAATATACATGCATGAGGAAGACGCTGAAAAAACAGCCTTCATGACTCCCGAGGGCATCTTCTGCTACGTCGTCATGGCCTTCGACCTAAAGAACTCAGGTGCCACCTACACTCGGATGGTGGCCAGGGTATTCCAAGCCGTCCTAGGGCGCACCATGGAGGCGTATGTTGACGACATGATCGTCAAGAGCAAGCAATTAGCAAGCCATGCTGATGACCTGAGGGAGATCTTCGCCATCATGCAGAAGTTTAGCCTTCGGCTGAACCCAAAGAAGTGCACCTTCGGCGTCCAGGGGGGCAAATTCTTGGGCTACATGGTGAGCCGAAGGGGTATCGAGGCCAACCCCGAGAAAATTCAGGCCATCATCAACATGGAGCCCCCACGCAACGTAAAGGAGGTCCAACGATTGACGGGCCGCCTGGCAGCCCTCAATCGCTTCTTATCAAAATCGGCGGAGAAGTCCTTACCCTTCTTCCAGATCATGAGGAAACCCGCCGGTTTCCAGTGGACGTCAGAATGTCAGGGGGCATTCGAGGAGCTGAAACGGTACTTATCTTCACCCCCTGTGCTCTCTAAACCCAAGGTAGGGGAGATCCTGTACCTCTACTTGGGTGTTAGCCCGGTTGCCATCAGCTCAGTACTCATCCGGGAAGAAGATGGCATCCAGCATGCCATCTTCTATGTTAGCAAGATCCTCAGGGAGGCGGAACTCCGGTACTCCCCCGTGGAAAAAATGGTGTTGGCTATCGTGTGGATCGTCAAGAAGTTGGGCCATTACTTCCAGGCTCACCCGGTCCAGGTCCTTACTCACCAACCCCACGGCTTCTTGATGAGGAGCCCCACTAGCTCCTCCCGAATGGTAAAATGGGCTATCTTCTTGAGCCAATACAACATCGACATCCGTCCTAGAGCCGCCATCAAGGGCCAAGCCCTAGCGGACTTCGTGACGGAGTGTACGGCAAGGGCAGCCACGAACGAGGAGCCCTCGGCCCCTTCAGATGATTGGTGGACCCTCTACACCGATGGCTCCTCCGCCATCAAGGCATGTGGAGGAGGGGTGGTTCTCATCTCACCTGAGGGCTTCCGGGCCTATTATGCAGTCTGTTTCTCCTTCAAAGTCTCCAACAATGAAGCCGAATACGAGTCTCTCCTCTGTGGCCTTCGGCTGGCAGCTAACATGAAGGCCCGACAAATCCACGTCAAGTGCGACTCCAAGTTAGTCGTCGGCCAAATCTCCGGGGAGTACGAAGCCAAGGAAGGGAGAATGAAGCAATACAAGGTGGCGGCCAAGGAGTTGCTTAAGGTATTTGAGGCACACTCTCTTACTCAAATACCGAGGGCTCAAAACTCCGAGGCCGACATTTTATCAAAGCTCTCGGCAGAATCCCCTGAGCATATCTCGAAGATTGCCAAAGTAGAAGAACTCAGCCTCTTTAGCATACATGCTAGCCCCGTCATGGATATACAACAAAGGCAGGAGGACTGGATCTCGGACATTGTTGCCTTCATCACCACAGGGCAACTGCCCGAGGATGAGGCCCGTGCCAAGCTGGCAAAGATGAGGGCTCCCAGCTACACTATCGAGGACGGGAGGCTTTACAAAAGGTCCTACAACGGGACGTTGCTTCGGTGCCTTCATCAAGATGAAGCTGAGGTAGCAATGGAGGAAGTACACAGTGGCACTTGCTCAGCTCATGAGGGACCCTTCTCCATGTCTCGAAGGCTAATAATCCAGGGCTACTTCTGGCGTACGATGGCCCGGGATTGTGCAGATCTTGCCCGGAGGTGTCCCGCATGCCAACACTTCCAGAATGCCCCCGTCAGGCCAGCGGTAACCTATGCCCCCATCAGCACATCCATACCCTTCGCTCGATGGCGCATAGACCTTGTGGGCCCTCTGCCGAGGGGTACCTCCAACAACAGATACATCATCGTCGCCATCGATTACTTCACCAAATGGGTGGAAGCTGAGCCCCTCGCCAGCATCACTGAGGCCAGGTGTTGTCATTTTGTTCTCAAAAACATCCTCACCAGGTTTGGCGTCCCTCAGCAAATCATCTCCGACAATGGCACTCAGTTTGAGGCAGCCCCCTTCTGTGCCCTCCTAGAGGCATAGGGCATCAAACACACCTTCTCATCCGTTGCTTACCCTCAGGGCAACGGTCAAGTGGAGAATGCCAACAGGACCTTGCTCGAGGGCCTAAAAAAGAAGCTGGAGGCCGAAGGGGGTGGTTGGGTAGAAGAGCTCCACAACATCTTATGGGCCTACCGTACCACCCCTCGGCGGGCAACTGGCGAGACACCCTTCTCCCTTTGCTACGGATTTGAAGCCAAGGCCCCCACCGAGGTAACTCTTCCAACCCGAAGGGTCATACAGTATGATCCAGAGGCCAACGACGCCAATATGGCCCTCGACCTCCACCTGATTTCAGAACGCCGAGAGCAAGCCTTCATGCGCGCGGAAACTACCAAAGGCAAGTGAAAAGTTACATTGATGCCAAGGTTCGCTCCCGGGAATTCCAAATGGGGGACTATGTTCTCCGAAGAAGGGAATCTAGCCAACCAATCGAGGGCGAGAAGATGGCACCAAAGTTCGAGGGCCCCTACATCGTGGCAGCCATCATCAAACCCGGAACTTACAAGCTAAAACGCCCTAACGGGACTGAAGTCCCTAGGCACTGGAATGTACATCACTTAGTTAAATTTTATCAATAACATCAGAGCGGCCGAGCCCTCATAACTAGTGAATGTATTATTTTACGGCCCAAGGCCTAAGAATTCTGAAGAATGAAGGCATTTTGAAGACACCGAGAACACGGAACAAGATTATCACAGGGGCCAAGCCCTCATATCACCCCCAGGCCCAAGGCCTCACCACAATAGAAGAACCCTCTGCACCAAGTGTCGGGGGGACACGCCACTAGCAGCTTTCAACAAATGAGAAGAAACACCAAGTGTTTCCACAGAAGACCCTTCGGTACCAAGTACCGAGGGTAGATAACACAATCACCTCCAACAAGTGGGAAGAAACACCAAGTGTTCCCACAGAAGACCCCTCGGTACCAAGTACCGAGGGTAGACACCACAGTCCCCTACGACAAGTGAAGGAAAAACACCAACTATTTTTACAGAAGACCCCTCGGTACCAAGTGCCGGGGGCCGTACATCGGAACAAACACCAAGTGTTGTTTCCTAAGCCGTACCCCTCGAGGACGCCTATACCGAAGGCGCCACCTCTCGGTGCCGGCAGCACGTAGTGCACTCGGCCATTTGCAACCAGTATGCAAATGAAAACCCTTCCCTGAAACGCTTTCCGCGTCATCACCCCAAGGGTATGACAGGCATGAGAAATGCCCAGGATTCGACTTTCAAAAACGGATCGCTTTCCGCGTCATCACCCCAAGGGTATGACAGGCACGAGAAATGCCCAGGATTCGACTTCCAAACCGAAACGCTCCCCGCGCCACCACCCCAAGGGTGTGGCAGGCCACTGACTATGTCTAGCGACGAGGGGACGACTTTCAAAACTGAGGCGCTTTCCGCGCCATCCCCCAAGGGGACGCAGGCTATAGACCACCATATCTTGTGCCCAGGAAACGACCCTCGATCCCCTCGGAACTCGGAAGGTTAACCCGAGGGGGGAGCTAATGGTGTATTCTGTTACCTCATGATAGGCCAAGCCTTACCAAGAAACCAAGTTTCTTGAAGCCTTCCCTTCACTACTAAAAAAAAGGGTGGTAAAGGGGAGTAGACTCGGCGAGAAATCAATGAGTACATCACTCCAACAATTCACAGAAACATACTGAGGGCTCCCCACGGGAACACCTTCGGTACCTGAAAGCTCACAGGTACAAAGGATACCATTCACAACAGACACCATCAACAAATGGCTAAGTCCACTCAAGGACTGCCTCCGGCTATACCTAAAACCGAAGGCTCAAATACTACAAAACATGACAGGCTCAGTCAACAGCAACTCAAAGCGTCCCCGAAGGGTACTATATGACAAAGCTATCGGATGTGGCCAAACCAAATCAAGAATCACCTCCGGCACCTCACTACATGCCGAGGGGATATAACAAACAACGGAAGGCTTTTATTGCCACAAGCCAACATCACAAGGCAAAGGAAACTATCCCAAACCTACAACGCATACAACCGAAGGGTCCCCCCCGAAGGCCAGCAACATGAATTACTTAGAAAAAAAATCTAAGTCCTAAATGCTTTGCCCCTTGTGGAGACACCAGTCAACTGAGGGCATACCTCAAACAAGGTCCTCACATTCACCCGAGGGATCCTCCTTCATGCATACTACACTTAGAAAAATTTTCTAAGTCCTACATATTTTGACCCTCGGTCAAATCTCCATGCTGCCCGAGGGGCCATACGGTTGAAGGCTTGGTGAAGCTATACTTAGAAACATTTTCTAAGTCCTACATATTTTGACCCTCGGTCAAATCTCCATGCTGCCCGAGGGCTCCTACTTCATACATGCTACACTTGGAAAAATTTCTAAGTCCCAAAAGTTCTTACCCTCAGTCAAATCTCCCTGCAGCCCGAGGGGTCATACGATTGAAGGCTTGGTGAAACTACACTTAGAAATATTTTCTAAGTCCTAACTATTGCTGGGCCCTCGGTCATACATCCAGCAAAGGGTACCCAAATACCGAAGGCTAGACTGCATTCAAACACTTAGAAAAATTCTTCCAAGTCCTAAACAGCTCGTCTCCGGTTATCTCATGAAAGCTACACAGAACCATGGGGAAGGAATTAGCTGGGGGCCAACAGATGAACAAACACTTAGAAATATTTCTAAGTCCTGAACATTGCGCCCTCGGTAAAAGGTTCAACTAACTAAAGATTACTAGTAGCCGAGGGCTACGAGAAGCACTGCACTTGGAAGAATATATTCTAAGTCCTAAACAAGCATTCAGAAAAGCGAATGCATACATTTAGAAAAGCGAAGGCATACATTCAGGAAAGGCGAAAACATACATTCAACGCGAAACAATGAAAGGGAACAAATTATATACCAAAAGCCCGAAGGCATGTACTCATTTATCCAATAAAAAGAAATTCAAATGTACATTACAGAGGGCCGAAGGCCGAGGGCATACAAGCATTCATTACAACGAGATTGTCCAAAACATGTTGAATTAAAAAATTACATATTAACATCCCCGGGGGCCGTCTGCTCCGAAGGCTTTGAAGTAACCTCTGTACCGGCCTGAGGTTCGTCACCCTCGGCCTCCTTCATCAGCTCGGTGTCCTCCAAGTCTGACCTCTCGACATCGGAGGGGAGAGGAACACGGACATCTGGCTGCAGGGGGGAAGTCCGTACGCTGCCGGGTCGAAATCATTTTGCTCGATCTTCAGGTGGCGGGCCATCCTCCGGTAGATGAGGGCTTGAGTAAAAAACTCGCCCCCATCGTAATATTGTTTACCCTTTCGGGAAACCCACTCCACGCCGGGCCCATCGCACCACTCATCGACCGAGGACTCCACGACCGAGGACAGCCATTGTTTGTGCTCCTCTGCTCGCCACCCCCTGCCAAAAAATCAGAGATGGCGTCCCCCCGGGCTTTCTCGACGGCCTCCGCCTTGGCGGCCTCGGCCTCCTTAGCAGCCCTCTCGAGGGCTTCAGCTGCGGACCTCTCAGCCTCGGCCTTGCCCCGGTCTGCGGCCTCCGCCCGCAGGGTCATCTGTCGAAGGCTCTCTTCTAGCATAGCCATCTGCCGGATGGCATCGGAATTCTGGCGGATGAGCTCCCGCATCTTGACGTCCTGCTCGGCCTTGCGCAGACGCCACTCCTCTAGCCTCCGGGCCTGCTCTCCGAGGGCAATGCAGGTCTACAGAAAATAAGGAAGTTAGAAAAGTCGTACATTATTTCCTAGCACAAAGTAAAAACGGTAAACTGTCAAAAACTTACCGTGAGGGAAGACCGGAGGATCATGTCCTCAAGGGATTGGTCATCATCAGCCCCGAGGGCGGCTCTGTCAATCTCAGGGGTCATACCCCTCAGAAGCACCCTCGGGTCAGCCGTGCAATTCATCACGGCCGTTCCTACCGGGAGGGAAACCGTCAGGACCTCAGAAGATGGCTCCCGGACACCCCCCGGCACTTCCGCCACCGTCATCTCCTCATCATGCGTCCCGGAGGCGGGGCAATCATCAACAATAACCACGGGGGGACCCTTCCTCCCGGTATCTCCCGTCTTCGGCCTTTTGCCCTCGGGAGCCTTGGCCGCTGCTTTTCTCTTCGCGGCAGCAGCAACATCAGTATTTGGGGCCACCGACGGCCCCTCCGGCTTCTTGAAGAAGTCACCGGCGGGCTTAGGGACACTAGCATCCGTCCCCTTCGGGGCCTTGGAAGATTTCTTCTTCTTGAGGTCAGCAAGCCCTCGGACGTTCATCATATTGACCGGGATACCTGCAAAACTATATGGGGTTAAAACCGAGGGGTCACTAACAGATGGCACAGAAAAAAAAAGAAAAACAAACAACAAACAAACTGTGTGCTAAAATACAGAAATAAGGGTGCCCTCAGCCGCTACCTCCGGAGGCTCCCTCAAAGGCCGGGAACTTTTCATCTGTCTCCCCCAGGAAGCGATACCGCCGGAACCCGAGGGTGTAGAGGTCCTTCTCTTGGGTGCACTCCTTGATGGTTATGTTTTTGTCTCAGCCCTCCGGGATCTTTGCCAGGATCTTGCCATCTTTCTCGAGGGCGGCGCTCCTCCTCTTCTCATGCCTCCTAAACCGGTCACGCAATTCCCTCGGGAAGGGGCTCTCGGCCAACTTCACATAGCACCACCGGTCTTTCCACCCTTTGTTCGAGGAGGGCGCCTCAGTAAAAAGCTTGAACAGGGCCACCTGCTGTAAGTTTGCGAAGCCCTCGGCATTCACATGTCCCCCCCAGCACAGGTTGAAACTTTGGAAGAAGAGATCCAGGCTAGGTGTTACCCCCTGGGATTTGCAGAGCTGGAGGAAGCCCGTGATGTAGGAGTGGCTGTTCGGGGTCAGTTGACAGGGGACCAAACCCACGAACCGGAGGTACTCCCGAAGGAAGGGGTGTAGAGGGAACCGGAGCCCCATCGATACGGAGAGGATGTGCACCGCAATGCAGCCCTCGGGAGCCATCGGGACCCGGTGCCACCACGATGGCCGAGGGGCCCACGTGTAACTGAGTGACATAGAGATCCGCCGCATCAGCTTTCGACCTTATCTCTAAGGCGCCGGTATTCAAATAGGAATACCCCTCGGGCATATCGAGGGGCTTCCCTTGATCTGCGACGCTGCCCTTCTTCTTGGGAGCAGCAACCTTCGCCTTCTTTTTTCCAGGGGCCACCCGGATGGGAACCGCGTTCAGCGGCCGAGAGGTGTTGGCCTCACCAGCTCCCCGAGGGGGGAGAACAGCGACGGTGACCCTCGCCCCCTCTTTCTGCGCCTCTTCCTCAGCTCCTTGCCAGGCGAGGGCCAGCTCTTCGTCTTCACACTCTTGTTCGAAGCCCTCGGCTTCCGCCTCAGCAACGAGGGCTTTCTGCAGCTCCATGGCGACGACAACATCTTGTCCCATCGAGGGCTGTTCGCTTGTGGACTCCACGTCCGAGATGACTTCATCCTCCATCGAGGGCGCCCCCGAGATGTCCTGGGAATCACTTTGGGAAGACATCTTTGCACTAGTTCGAGGGCTCGGAAACGTTAAGTTTTCTAAGTTACAACTCCTAGATCTAAGGCCGCTACAGCTAGCTAAGGAGGGAGAAGAATAGGTGGGGAACTGACCTTAAAGCGGGGATTGATCGAAGGCAGCTATTTCTCTGTCTAGGAATTTTGGCAGAGCTTCGCTAACGGATAAATCGCACATGGGAAGTGAAACCGGCCATGGGGTATTTATAGGCGCTGGGATCTGGGCTTGGGCCTGGAAATCGGGCCTCCGGTTGGACTGCCATCATTACAAACCGTGGTTTCGCCCAATCGGTGACGCCCGCCCACGGGCAGCCAACGAGCACACACCACGTGGCAACTCCCCCCAACGGCTATATCCTGACGTTAGATATTTCAACGGCTATATCTCCAACGGCTATATTCTGGGAGCTCCCGGCTACACTTGACAGACCACTCCTTCATCAATCAAGAAATTAGCCCCCGGGATTTTTACTTCACTCCACTTCATCATGAAGAGCCTCCGGGTATACTTTCCCAGAGACGCTCCCGGTTTGTGCCCCACACATTACCTGACAAATGCCTTCGGGCTCACTCCTTCAGAAGCCCACAGCTTCATAACAGGCCCACCCCTCGGGGATCCCCCCTCAGCACTTTGAGGGCCGGGTAGCCCCGGGGAGTACACCTCATTGACGGACAGCCTACGGCACACAGGTAACGGGACCTCTCTGGTACACTCCTCACCAACTAATCAGCAAACAGGGGACACCCCGGTAACACTGAAACTGCTACTCACATTCATGACGCCCTCGATCCCCGGATTGAGGGACTCCCCTTCGGCACCTCCCAGGAAATCAACAACACGCCTCCGGCTAATCAACACACGAGCCCTCAGAACAAGGAAAGCCTTCGGCATCAGCATTATTCTCCATTTCGAACAAAGGTTTCACATTTTCGATTCATCGTTGGAGGAATTCGGTGCACTCTTTTTTCCTCATTAGGATTTTTTCCCACACGGTTTTTCCTAATGAGGTTTTTAACGAGGCATCCCCCCAAAATGAAACGAAAAGCGTCAGCCTTCGGCCCAAAACAGGAACGCAACTACTCTAGTCCTTTTCACCACTTTGCAAGTGCCTCAAGGAGTGGGAGACTGGAGACCCCCCCCCCCCCCCCCCCCGTAAAACACACAAAAATCACAAACATGACCCCTCAAGTCCCGACATGTGGGTAACTGAGGGATTACCCTCGGCAGAATAAACAAACAGCAAACTACCCACAACACCGCAAACTACAACGGAACAACGGCAGAGGACAAACACAATTACTCCTTTTCCCTCAAGTACCTTTCGGCAAAAGGAGTGAGGGACTCCTGATGGAGTATATGGCCCGGTAACCCCCGGCGCACAGACTCCTACTACTCCAATGAAGTCCCAACAGGCCCAGAAAGCACAACAGGCCCGAATCATCGCGCCCAAAGTACCAAGCAGCCCACAATGCGCACAAGGGGTGCCTTCGGCCCCCTGGACAAAGGCCCTAACTCTCACAGGAGGGCCAAGACAGGAAAACAAAGTTACTGGGAAAAACGGCGAAAATCAGTAGCCCTCGGCAACTGGGGCCCTCGGCACTAAGGGGGTCCCCGGTACTCAGAGCCCTCGACTAGTCATCTACTGCCGAGGGCACCTTTTCCGACACAATATCCGCTCCACATGTGTATGGATCACCTTACCCTGTACAACGTCCCATCCAACAGCCGCATTAAATGCGGCCACATGCGTTTGTCAGCGCCAACCAGTTGAGGTGACCTCTCGGCCAATGGACGCTTGACACGTGTCCCTGTCCGGCATTTATTGCTACTATAAATAGCACCCCATTTCCCCATTTGTAACCAAGTGATAACAAGTCATAACACGCTGAATACTTTCTAATATACTTTCTCTCTCTATACTTACTTGCTCTGACTTCTCTTTAGTTATTCCCCGTAATAACCCCTCGGATAAGCTACCACCGGGTACACTATCCATCAGTTAGCTACCTCTGATTTGTTTAAGAAATTCTGGGGTGAAGCAGTTACCATTGCTGCCTATTTGGTTAATAGCCCCCTTCTGTCCCTCTAGGTGGTAAGTGTCCTAAAACCATCTTTACCGGTTAGCCTCTTGACTCGTCTAACCTTTGGGTGTTTGGTTGTGCACCATATGCACATCAACAGGTTGACAAGTTGGATCCTAGGTCTAAGAAATGTGTCTTCCTAGGATATCTGGTGGGGGTAAAGGGTTACAGGTTATGGGATATAGGAACCAGACAGGCTTTAAGGTGGTCATTAGCAAAAATGTGATATTTAATGAATCTGGTTTCCCTTGCTTGACCAAATCTGTTTCTAATCCTGAGTCTAAGTCTGATAGTACTCCTAGTGAGGTAGAGTCTGTCCCTGTTGCTGCTAGTCCTTTATCTGTTGATCCTCTTATTAATGATGAAACTATTTTGCATGATAATGATTCCTCTGAGTATGATAGTCCCACCACCCCTAGTAAGGTGGAACATTTACATGATGTTGAGCATGAATTGCATGATGTGGGCGTGGAATATGATTTTCATGATAACAGTAATTTGCATGAGTTGCATGTGGAGACTAGTAATGATGATTTGCATAATTATCAACTTGCTAGAGATAGAAGTAGAAGGACCTTCAGGAGAACTGCTGATAGTATGTCTGATTATGCTTTAAACGTGCATGATACTTCTATGTTTGCATTTTCTGTGTTTGAAATCCTAGAGTTGAATGAACCCAAGACCTACCATGAAGCCTAAGGTTACAAAGAGTCTAAGAAACGGTTAGTGCCATAAAGAGTGAGATGAACTCTTTGAGAGTGAACCAACCTTGGACCCTTGTCCTTAGACCCCCCAGCTGTTCGGCAGTTGAGTGTAAGTGGTTGTTTAAGGTTAAGGAAGAACCTAATGATGTTAGGTTTAAGGCTAGGTTGGTTGCTAAAGGGTTTACTAAAAAAGAGGGGGTATATTATGCTGAGATATTTGCTCATGTGATCAAGTTTACTACTGTTAGAATTATGCTTTCTCTTGTTGCTCACTTTGATTGGGAAATGAAGCAGATGGATGTGACCATTGCTTTCTTGCATGGTGATATTGATAAAAAGATTTATATGACCCAACCTGGAGGGTTTATGGATCCCAAGAAAAGTGATTATGTGTGTTTGCTAAGGAAGGACTTGTATGGTCTAAAGCGGTCTCCTAGGCAATGGAACATTAAGTTTGATCGATGCATGAAATCCATGAAATTTATTAAGTATGCATGTGATCATTGTTTGTACTATAAGAATATTTCTTCTATGCCTATATTCTTTTTGCTCTATGTGGATGATATGTTAATCATCAGTCCTTGCCTTAAGTCTATTGTTCATGTGCAAAGAGGATCCTAGGCATAAAAATTGTTAGGGATAGGAGCAAACCTACTCTTATTTTAAACCAAGTTTCTTATGTGGAAAAGATTTTGAGTAAATTTAATATGTTATCTGCTTCTCCCGTGAATGTCTCTATGGCTTCTCACTTTGTGTTAAGTATGGACCAATCTCCCAAGACTACTCTTGAAATTGAGAAAATGAAATGTGTTCCCTATTCCTGCGCAATAGGGACGGTTATGTATCTTATGGTTAACACTAGGTCTGATATTGCATATGCGGTTAGTTGCTTGAGTAGATATATGTCCAACCCTGGTTTGTCCCATTAGAATGCTCTTAAGTGATTGCTTAGATGTTTGATATCTACTATAAAGCATGGATTAATTTTCTCTAAGTGTGCTAGTGGTATTGAGTTGATTGGTTATGTTGATTCTAATTATGCAAATGATAAGGATGACAAGAAGTCAACTAATTCTTATGTTGTTACTTTGTGTGGTTCTTTCATAAGTTGGAAGTCTCAACTGCAGCGCATTGTGGCCCTTTCTACCACTGAATCTAAGTATGTTGAAGTCACAGAAGAATTTAAGGAAGCCATTTGGCTCAAACGCCTTGTCTCCGAGATTGGATTTCTTAAACAGAAAGTTACTATTTTCTCGGATAGCCAATCAGCTATCCAACTTTGTAAAAATCTTGTATTTCATGATAGTACTAACCATATTAATGTTAGGTTCCATTTCATATGTGATATTGTGGATGCAGGTGGAGTCAAGCTGTGCAAGATACTGTCCGAGTTTAATCCCGCAGATATGGGTACCAAGTGTCTTTCTGCTGATAAACACTTGTCCTGTAAATGCGTGTTAAACTTTGACTATGGATAACTATGGGTTGTCTACCTTTTTGTTTTCCCATTTTATCTTTTGATATTCCGGATGATCCGATGATGATGATGAGTCTCTTCACAACCTTGTATTGTTACTCTACACCACTTAGGATCAATAAGGTGGAGAATGTTGGAGGTATTGGTCCTACCAAAGCATCCCTTCAATTTTATTATTGACTTGCACCCTATGTTTACTCCTACTATTCTATTCTTATTATTGATTCTCTTATGGCTAGGGGGGCACGTGCCCCCGCTTCGGATCCGGAATTTCACTAGTAGCACTTAAGGTAAAACCAGTACCCACTTCGGACCCGGAATTTTACTAGTTTAGTGTCTAGTGTGCCCCCGCTCTCACAAATCTCTGGGCTCGCCACTAGTGACAGCCTACTATATCTATATCTTTCTTCTTTGAGAGTGGCCTGCGTGAGAAAATAAATAGAGCAGACCTTTCCCTTTCCTTTGTGTGAGAGAGGTAAAACCAGAGAGTTGAGAGCATAGTGTTCTCCTTCCTCCTTGAGATCCTTTGTGTGAAAGCTTGGGAGTGTAAACATGTTGAGAAGTGGAGTGAGTCTAGCCTAGAGTGGTTGTGTGTGAGTGGAGTGAAATGTTGAATACCCGAGCCTGAGACGGAATCGATCCCTAACACACACTTGACAGAATGACAAAGACGACGGACAAGCTGCACCGGAGCATTGGTGCGTCCAAACAACCAACTGCACACCGCTGAACAGGGGCAAATCTACCTTATAGAGAGTGGGGGAAATGCCACCTTGAAACTTTTAATATTTGATTAATAATATAGTACGTTGTAATTTTGCAATTTCATTTTTGAAAGAAAGAGTTTGCCCCCAATAATTTTTTCTCATGCCCCAACACATATTTGTGAGATGTTGTGTCATATGCATGGATGAATAAAAGTTTGTTAGTTTATTACAAATGTAATTGTACCAAGTTAAAACAATCTAGATTTTTTGGAAATTCAGAGGGCAGAATAAAATACTAAATTATACGGATTATTAAATAGAACTATATTCAATTTAGCTAATAAAGTACTCTCTCTGGTCCCAAATGAAATTCACACTTTGACTTCACACAAATTAAGGAAATAAATTTGACTTTACTGTAGAGTACACTGTTGTGACACTGTTTGACATTGTTTGGCACTGTTTTGCACTGTTTTAATGTAGATAATTTGCCAAGTAAGGAAGAGAGGAGAAATGTAAAGTTTATTTTGGACCTACCCAAAAAGGAAAGTGTGAATTTCATTTGGGACCGGAGGAAGTAATAGCATACTAGTTATCACATACTACCTCCGTCCCAAATTGATTTGCAAATTTAACTTTTTTTTGTCAAACGGTTTCATTTTATTTGCTTAATTAGGATGCTAATTTTTAATTATATTCTAATTTGGAGTTTACAACTTTGAAGAGATTTTAATGTAGTTTCTGAATGTATAAATTTTAATTATTAAAAATTAAATTAATCATAGATTCGGAGCTATGACTTTTATTATTGGTTGACCAAAAAATGTTGATTTTGCAAAACAATTTGGGACGAAGGGAGTACAAGTGTTTCAAATGATGATAACATAATGATGTTTCATTTTCATTTCTATTTAAGCACATTTATGAAAAGTAAATAATTATTATAGATCTAGCCTTCTTATCATTAATTATATAATTATATACTCCCTCCGTTCTTTATTATCTGTCTCGCTAGCCTTGATCACGAGTTTTAATAGAATAATAGTAGGGTAAATGTAGAGTGTGTAGGGTAAATGATAAAGCAGAAAAGAGAGTATATTAAAAAGAGTAAAGTGGTGATAAAGTGATGATAAAATAGGAAAGAGAGTATATTAATTATTAAGTAGAGTAAAGTTATGATAAAGTAAGAAAGAGAAAATAGTTTGTAAAAAGTAAGAGGAGTAAAAGTAATAAAAGTGGGGGTATTTTATCAAAAGCTTTCCTAAAATAGAAAGAGAGCTAAATAATAAAAAACGGCCAAAAAAGGAATGCATGACGGTTAATAAAGAATGAGTGGAGTAATTAACTTTAAATTAGATCAGTCATTTAGGACGCAATCAATTGCACAACCGAAGCTCCGGAAAATCATTCAAGATTAATAGGAATTCGTTCACATGGTGAACTTAAATCATTTTTAATCTATTACTTTATAAATCAATTTTTTATCGAATTTACATTTTTGTATCAGGCTTTGTAGCGGTTTTAATGTAGTTTCTGAATATGTTAATTTTATTTACTAAAAATAATCAGAGTGTGAAAAGAGATTAAGTTGTTTTATCGTCAGTCAACATCGTAAATAATCAGAGTAGTATTTTTGTTTTATTATTACTTGTTGGACAAGAAATACACATTAACAGACCTACGTGTAGCTGTGTTGCGTGGACAACTCGAGAAAGCGATCGATCTAACCCTTCATTATAGTAGTAATTCTTTACGCACCATCATTCCGTATAACGGGGCACCCCGCATGTAGAAGGCACATATTCTTGACCCAAGTCTTTATGCTTCATCATTTGGATACATGATGTTAACATGTGGAATACTTGATCATTTCTTGAATAAATAAACATTGTATTTTACATAATTTTGATCAGGTTTTGTAAATTTATAACGAGATAAATTTAGAATCTTTGTACAAGAACACTTGATTAATACATTAATAAATAAAGCGTAATCAAAATAGAATATGTGAATAATATAAAATTTAATATATTGCACTTATTTAAGAAAGAAGAAATAAATTTAACAACTATATAAATGAATCTAAAGAGGGTGTATTGTATCACGAATTAGTGGCAAAAGTTTAAAAGTTAATGAATTTTAAATGTTTAGGTGTATTCAATGTGAACTTTTAAAAGTCTACAAAAGTCTAGGTGTATTCAATTTAGACTTTTAAAAGTCTATAAAAGTCTAGGCGTATTCAAATTTCCGATCATTCTTATTGATTTCTAAAATCACGGATTCTCGGGGACTTTTAACTCATTTTTAGTATATTATTTCTCTACAATTGTCTTTTCTCCTTACCAAAGATTTTAGTGAACTTTTCTAGTTGTCTTCTACTAGTCACAACTACGCATAGATCCGATTGCATATTTCACTAATTATTTACCCTCAATCACAAACCGACCAACAAGTTCTCGACTAGTACCGTCCGGGAGGTGGATATCAAGCGCAGATTATATGGTACACCCGGGTGTATAGGTACACAAGGTATTTTTGTAATATATACCAACTTCAAGCCTTTCTCATCTTTCTCCTGCTGAGTCATCTCTTTTTTGCCGTCGGTCGTTTTTCTCTTTCGCCGTCATCTGTTTTCTTTCTTTTCTTCCGCAGCCAGCCATCTCTTTTCTTCCTTTTCTTCGGCCACAATCCTCCGGTAGTCGTTCCTTACGTTTATAGTTTTGATTTGATAGTTACGTTTTTTGTTTGGACCCTTTTAGTTTTGATAGTTACGTTTTTACTTTTGTCTTTTTTTCATGTTTTTCTTTATTTTATTTTACCGTTAGCTACTTGATCTTTGTTTTGTTTAATTTTGTCTTTTTTCTATACTTTTTTCCCTTTCTTTATGTGTTGTTTACTTCTTTCTTTTTCTTTATATATTAATATTGAACATATTAGAAATGAGCTTTACTTTAAACTCGAATGAGTAAAACGCCTAAAAAATAAATATACACAAATGAGATTTTGATTTTTTTGATACTCGTTTTGTAAATTATGTATGTTCATTTAGTAACTCCGTTATGCTCATTTTAAAAATGTTTTTAGCAATGCATATTTCAAAAGTCTATTACATTAAATTTATATAGGGGTTGATTATAGACACGAGATCACAAATCATGATATTACAATCACAAATTGTAATACTCAATAACACAGGTTTGATGCTCACTGAAAATGTATTGATGCTCAACGAACAAAACATTCAATTTTTATATCAATGTTCATCATGTAAGTTACATATGCTCATTTGTATGAATCTGATGCTCATTAAATATATTTAAATGAGCATATTAGAAAATTTAAATGAACTTTTGAATTTTTCTATGCTCATTTTATAATATATGTATACTCATTCAGGAGTAGTGTTATTCCCACTTTAAAATGTCATGTCAATACTTATGAACTAATACTCAACAGAATAGGTATCATACTCATTAAAAGTACATTAATGCTCATTTAACAGAAACCATTATTTTAATCGCAATAGAGAAAGTTTGGTGCTCAATGAAAATATCGTGATGTTCGACTAACAAACCAACTAACAAATTCATTAATGTTCATTTTGTAAGTTACGTATGCTCATCTAGTACTGATCTTATGCTCATATATATTGGACTCCGAAATCTCAACGTAATTGGTCTGATGCTCATTACAAGTTCATTAATGCTCATTCACAAGAAATTGTGATTTTCATCTCAATAGCGGAGGTTTGATATTCAATAAAATGTTGTGATGTTCAACAAAAAAAAACATTACGATTTTCATATTAATGTTCACTTTGTAAGTTGTGTATGCTCATTTGGTACTGATGTTATGCTCATTTTTACAATGTCATATCAATGTATTTTTCAAAAGTATCATATTACATTAGACTCGCATATTGAAATTAATAAGAGTGGATTATAGATATATTTTAATAAGTTTTTATAAACGAAAAAATAAGAAAAAGAAAAAGAATTAGAAGATATGAATCAGAGATCACGATACTTATTATTCGCCTCTTAATACTCAATAAAATAAGTCAGATACTCACTTACAGTACAGTGCTCATTTAGCGGGAGCCGTGATTTTTCCCTTAAACTACAAAAATGCCACCGGAAAAAATTACACTGTATCAGTTAAATGGGTTGTCTTTCTTAATTAATTGGGCCTTTTTTTGTGGGCTTTCGTCAGATTCATTAAACTTTGTTGAAATTGGGCTGGAGTTTCATTTAAATTAGAAATAGACCCGGATGTACGGTTCCCACCCGTACACCCGGGTGTAGGATATACGAACTCGGTATCAAGATGGTCTCAGTATCCAAGATTTGAACATTAAGTTTTGATTTTTCTATCAAAATTTACAATAAATAAGTTGAACAAAGAGATTCTTCATTAATACTGATACACAAGATAAACTTATCTCTTTAATTTTTTAAAAAGCTAAAAAGTGATATTTTATATGTCGTCTTACGAAGAAAATATATTGTAGGGGTGAGATTGGTTCAATTCTTGAAAGAAAATTAGGAAGCATTTGAAGAAGAGTAAATTCTCTAAATGGGAGTAAAAATGGTTTGAAATTCCAAAATAGGAGTATCATGTTTTTTATTCCCTAAATAGGAGTAAATTTCTGCCAAGTTTGACATTACTAGGCTTTTAAAATGACTTTTTTTTTTCAAACTTGGCATATTACTCCTATTCAAGGAATAAAAAACATAATACTCCTATTTTGGAATTTCAAAACGTTTTTACTCCTATTTAGGGCAATTTCTATTTGAAGAACCGTTAGTTCCATGTTGATTCAGTTCTTGAAGTTTTTAGAAGAACCGATATAAGAATCGATAGTATTACATCGGTGCAATTCTGGTACGTTGTTAGTTAATCATTAAGAAAGAAAATTACTTATTAACGTGTTTCGTCATTAAACCGCTAACACATATAAATATACTTTGAAATTACTAAATATTTAACCTTAAATAAATATACAAAATTTAACAAGCTAAAGATGAAAAGAAAACAATTATTAAGAAGAAAAACTAGATTGCACCTATACTTGCATCAATGTAGCAATGAGTGTAACGCTTGTGTAATGATCAATGTTCTTACTCATTGAGTTGTGTAATATAACAATTGATCAATAGATCAAAATCATTGAGCATTCTCGAAAATTTGAGGTTATTTTAAATAAAAATAAATTTAGATTAATTTATTAAGT